TGTAAATAAAAACACACAGGGCACAAACGGTTGCAATTTATTGATATACACTTGGAATCCATTATAAAAGTAACATCTTTGAAAAGCGTATACTTGTAACTTGTGCTTAGAAATGGTCAAAATCGGAATAAGCAGGGCTACACAGATTTAACATTGTTGTTGCAAAAGATGTTGCAGTATTTTTGTTTCTTTAAAACATTTTCTTTTTTGTATATAACTCAGTTTATATGTTTAAATATCAAAATATAAACCAAAAGTAAGTAATAATGATATAATGATACAACTGATATATGTTTTGTATGGATGTAACGTACATTTTACTTGGCATTCAATTTATTCTTGTAACAAAATATAAATATTTCATTAAAAAGCACTCAGTTTTGTTCTATATTAAATAGAAATAAGAAGACTAAAACTAATTATACAATACTAAACAATAGCACTCCAAATATCAAACTGTGCATTAATTGAAACAATTAAATACATAATAAAAAGGTATTCTTACACTGTAACGTTGATTATAAAATTAAGCGTTTTGAAGTCATAGTAACAAAACAATGTCCCATCGCTATTGTATTACCTGAATGTATGTAACTTTCTTACTTACATATTCATTGGTAAGTTATATACATTTCATTTTCTGATCACTTAATATAAATTATGTACAGGTATATACACAAACAAGTTTGACAATGAGATACACAGTAACTTAAACAAAAAGTGGTAAGAACTTATAGATAACTATAAACATCTGGAATAAAAAAACCCATACAATCTGAATAGAACATTAATAATCAATAGTTACATTAATATATTATGTACAAATATACAGATGAACCTATAATTGATAAACACATTTGAACAGAATTTGTAATGGTTTGTATTTTCTTGTTTGACATAAGTTTACTATGAACACATTTAAGATAAACAGTAAATTCAGTTGTAATTGTAAAAAGCTCTCACACTAGTGCATCGTTGATTATTTATATTAACGTTTATAATAGTTAAGTATACATCTGATGTAAGTTTAAGACATTTTCTCTATTTTTGTTAAACAAAGAAGGAAATTGTGTCGTTTAATAAAATCCTTATAAAAAGACTTTTGGAAGTTTATACGGTCATGCATAAAAACACTTTGCTATAAAACCTGAAAGCTTCGGTTATATTTACTTACAGTCATTTATCTAGGTCATATAACTTGTTAAATCATTATAACTGATGATATATTTTCATCTTAATTAAGATATAACCAATGGCAAAATGCAACATATACACATTTGTTCTTTTGGCTATAGTTATTGCAACCTTGAAATTTCATTTTTACCATATAATTGTAAGCGTCAAAAATAAAAAAAACAGCAACAAACGTATACTCTATTGTATAGAATTCAAATATGATATGCTTTCTTTAAAGCTAGTCATTGTGTAGTTATATGTTTAACTATTTCAATCTAAAATAGCGGAACATTATAAATAGTTGAATGATTTTTTTAAATCATGCTGCACATTATGCTCCAGAAATCTTTATTATTTTTTTGTAAATCTTTAAAAATGTCAAAGGTGTTTGATAATGTTTTAATAAAGGATTTAGATCATGTTAAATTTTTTTTAACAGCTGAGGTAAGTAGCTCTTAATATGCAGTAATGTGTCATAAAGGTAGCAAAATGTAAACAAAGATGTATTTTTACTTTCATACAAGAAACTAATTCCGTATTATTACACAAATTGCCAACAAAGCAAAACGATACATTGTAGTTCATCTACAAGGCAAATGAGAAATGTTTTGGAACTGCAACAAGATACCCAAACAAATATTTTTTGGTGAAATAAAAATCATAGCATTTCTTAGGCATAATGGGCCTTTAAAGTGAATTGGTCTGTAATGGAAGATATGTAATGCCATAAATATGTTAAAACAAACCACAAAAGCACTGTTTATGGATGCTGTTGAGTGTTAAATACACGACACGATCCGATGTGACATATTAATAAAAAGCATAATTATAATACAGTGTTTAAAACAAAATATTATATTTATCATATATTATGCTCATAGTAAATCTCTTTTAAACTCTTATCAACATATTTTTGTTCAGTAATATATTATAAGAATATCCAAAAGAAACATCTCTTACGTTGTTATCAATACTTATAGAAAATGTGCACATTGTAGACCTATCCACTTTAATTACAAGCGTTTTTTTACAAGTTTTATTTGTGTTTTCTCAATGTATGTATCTAATTTACAAACAAAATTTTCTGAAGGATATTAAAAATATTTGACAGCAGAATTGGTAAGAACTTTCTGTTTAGATGTAAATCCTTCTCGAAGATAACAGTTTAAGGTACAAACAATGCAAAAGTTTGCTACCCTGTTTTTGTTTCAGCCAGGAACCAGAAGCTTGTACAAGAAATTGGTGATGCACTGTAAATATACTGGAGTTCATTTTCTGAAAGAAAAGAAAAATAAATAAATGAGAAAATGAAAATATAAAATTATGTAACAGTATAGATAACAACATTTATCCAGTTCTAATAATATATTATATGTGTTCTATGAAACACACACATTTAAGGTGATTCGTCAACAGTTTAGTTTTACCTATATGGTAGAAACCCTAAGATGTTTTGCGTACCCATAATATTTCAGACATGAGCTGATTGCCAGAATAAATCCAAATCATAAACTTCTGTAAGCAAGGTAATTTTAATCATAGAAAATAACTAAGTAAGTTAGTGAGAAAGTAATTTATTACAGTGTCAATTATATTTTACAAATTCATTGCCAGTTTGCCAGTTTTGTAATAAGTTTTCTTTTATGAAAAAAGAACAAAATCCATGAATAAATAAAACTTATGTCATTAAAGTAAATTTCAATAATTTGATCTTGAAGGTCAATTAAAAGTCAAGGTCATATACTTTTGTCTTAATATAAATCAAATCCGTAAATAAACAGAGTTAGCTATTAAGCTAAACTCAATATTTGACCGAGAAAGTCACTGTCATATTTAAATTACCTTTCATGCCAGTTCTGTTACCTTAGTGTTCTTTTACCCTAGTATAAATCAGAACCATAAATAGATTACAGAAGTCATCGGTTGCTCACCAAAATAAACAGTTGCTATGGCAGTCATTGTTTACTATGAAAGTCATTAGTAGATTATTTGCTTGCTATGGAAAGTAAATGTTTTCTATGACTAGGTAATAAGTCAATGCTTGCTACAGAAATCACTGGTTGCTGCTATGGAAAGTCAATGGTTGTTATGAAAAAATAACTGTTGCTATGTTATACAATTCTAGCTACAGAAAGTGAAGGGTAACTGTGAAAATCACTGGTTGCTATGAAAAGTAATTAATTGCTATGGAAATTTAAGGTTGGTTGGTTTGGAAATCACTGGGTGCAATACAATATCAATAGTTGCTATGGAAGTCAGAAATTGCTATGAAAGTCAATGGTAGATTCACAGGTTGCAATTGAAAGTCAAACTTTCCTTTGGAATTTATAGTTGCTAGGCAAAAAGTCAACGCATACTTTGGAAGTCGTAGGTTGCTATGGAAAGTCAACGGTCGCTATTGAAAGACAAAAGCTGCTATTGAATATCTATGATTGCCATGGAAATTACAGGTTGCTGAGGAGAATAAATGGTTGCTATTGAAGTCAGTGCTTTAATGGAATTTAGTGGTTGCTATGGAAGTCATTGGATTCTAAGAGAAGTCACTTGTTGCCATAGATTCAACTGGTTCCTACGGATAGCCAAGACTTGTAAAATCACAGGTTGAAAAGTTAATCCAAATGAATGCTTTGTAATTCTATGGTTGCCTTTAAAAAGTCATGGTTGCTTTGAATGTCCCTATTTGCTTAAGTAATTCATGGGCTGTTATAGAAAAAAATGCTATGCACTATAACAGTGACTATGTTAAGTAAATAGTTCCAATGGTTGCAATGGAAAGTCAATATGTGCCATGGAAGTCACAGGAAATCACTGGTTGCCTAGTAAAGCATGTAAAGTCAGAATTTGCTATAGAAATCAATGATTTCTATGAAAAGTCAATGGTTGTTTTGGAATGTCAATGGCGACATTGATGTTCTCTTGTTGATAATGGAAAGTTATTGGTTGCTTTGGACGCCAGTGGTTGCTATGTGAAGTAAATGGTTAATATTGAAGTAATGGTTGCTATAGAATTTAAAGGATGCTAAGTAAATATTAATAGTCAATTGGAAAAGTTAATAAACATTTTGAAAAATCTAAGACCCCTGGGGCTGGTTCAATTGAGACCCCAGAGGTATAATTAAATCAAACTTTAAAAAGGTCCACAAGACAAGTCAATATTTCAAGCAAAATATCTAAGATTTAGCCTTTATGATTGAAAAGAATTGGATTTTTTTTTATTTTACTATATTCATATAGGGAAATCTATGACCCCTTCCCCCCGAAACCAGGGGAATTTTGAACCTAAGAAACTTTACTTGTAAGGGGTACACAAGACACGGTTTCTTGCAAAAGTGAATTGAAGTGATTAAGCCTGTATGGTTTCAGTGAGACTAGTTGACAGGTAAGAAAAAATCTAATTATATGACATTCTTGTTATTAAAGGAGACAACGTATTATTTAAAAAGTCTGGCAATTAATGTAACAAAAAATAAAAATCTTACAGAAATAATAAAAGAAAAACAATCTTAGTTAACAAAACTTAAATGTATAAGAGAGAGAGAATGAAAAGGTAATTAGATCTAATAACCGTTGTTCACGTATAAACAACCTATGTTTAAAAAATACTTTACTTTGATTTAAAAAATATATTTCAGGAATCAAAATTTCATGGAAAATATCAATCGAAAGTTGCCTTATTTAATATATAAATATTTTATTCAATAAAAAGTAAGTATAAGAAAAATGATTGTTCACTATTAATTATATATTTCAGTTCTTACATATGCATGTATAATATAAAATAAAGATAAAACATTCAAAATAAAATCACTTACCTGTGAAATATTTCCATATCCCAATCCAACTTTTATATACATTTAACTTGAATTATTTGTTTCATTTAAATGTTTGTATTTATTATCAATTGTCACTTAATCTCTTAACTGAAAATGTAAGAACATGAATGCCCTAATTAAAAGACTAGATCTATAATAGACTATATAGTGTAGTTAGTAATCGTCATTTTGTTTCTAAATGTCCATTTATTTAAAATCATTGAATTAATGTCTTTATTTTATTTTACAAGTTTTGTCTTGTCTATTCTTTGCTTAGTTTTATTGTTTTGAACTTAATTCCCCACAAGTTGTCGCCGTCATCTATCATATGAAACGCTTTTGATCTCCGAATATTTTCTCTAACACGTTGATATTCTGTGTACGGTGTAATGGCATGCATCTTTACTGTAACTGACTGCGGCAGATTTTTCAGCACGGTAATAAAGTTCTGAAAACTTCCTGCAGGCATTTCTATCTCCTCCAAATCCACACGTTCAATATTCAACATGTTACGTGACAGTAACAATAAACTTTCATCTAGATTGATTCCCAGCAACGAAAATTTAACTAATGACGGTGTTAATTTATTTAATTGTAGCCTGCAAGGTAACTTCTTAAGGTATAACTCTGATAGAGTTGAATGCTTAGACAAGTCCAAGTTCAATCTCTTACAATCATGCCCGCCATTATCTTTACAGTCTAACAAACTCAATGTTAACTTTTTCATTGATTTTTGACCGGAGATAAAATTGAAAATTGTTTCCAGTATTTTGTGTGATAACGTGAAGAGTTCAATAAATAAATATTGTAAGTTGTGGTATCGCTCCAAGCTTTCATACATATTTTCTTCATAATTTGTCCATTTACCTGAAAATAAAGTTAAAGTCTGTAAACTGGGAAACAAAATCAGATTTATCTCAGCCTCGTGCTCGCTGCCACCATAGCAGTAAAGTTTCTGTATATGCCTGAGATCTGTGAGAGAGAATATATCTATAATTCCACGTAAACCGCTGGAAGTATCGCTGATGTCTATATAAAGTGATTTTATGTTAGTTTTATTTTGTTTAAACAAACGTTGTAACTGCTCACTTTTCTCGGTTTCCGAGTCAATAAAGAAATCTTGTAAACATAATTGAATATTTTCACTTTCAGTCATTTCTTGTAAACACGACAAAAACATTTTCTGAATGTCAAGCAATGGATTATTGTACACGTAGAGCCCGCCACCTATCCAAGTTCTGTAAACGCGTGTGTTCTCGTTTTCATTTATCACAGACATCAAATCATATGATATTGCACACATCAGGTCAGCATTCATTTTACTTATAAATTCAAAAAAAATTGACAAGTCCAGAATGTCTTGAACATTTCTACAGTTTTCTAGAACTGTTTTCTGAGCGTCACTTTGAGAACTTATAAATATTGCAGCAAAAAATTCTTGCACTGATTTGTGAGAAAACGATACTTTGATAATTTCTTTGATTAAAGTATTGTTTCTACTTTCTGATAATATTCCTGAGAGAAGACTTAATTTCATGTCGTCCTTGAGATATTTTTCAGCAACCGTTCTATCAAATACCAGCGTATTTTCTTTGTTTTCGTTAAATAATGTTTGGAATGCTAGTTCTGCTAATGATGTTATAAGACTGTAAAACTTTTTACAAAATTTACGACTTTTGAAGTATTCTGGAATTTCACTGGTAGAGGATTCCCGAGAAGGTTGAACTTCTGGGTTTTTCTGTGACGTTCTCAATAATAGAAATTCAATGATATTGGTGTAAATTTCATGTTTTGAATTTCCTATTGGAATGTTGTTGCACCATAGGCAAACTATATACATGAGGAGGAGTGGAATCACTTGCATGTGCTCTAGGCCACATTTACGTATCACGTTATTAAATTCCTCTATTTTACTCTTCAGTACTCTATCGTCACGGACACCGGTCATTTTTCTTATAGCATTTTCTTCTAGTTGCCTCGTAGAATCTGCACTTAACTGAACCAATTCTACTTTTTTGTTTATTTGACTTGTTTTGAGATGTGCCACTCCAAGCTTCCATTGTCGAGTTGTCGTTAGGACAACACAATTATCACGAACGTACCGATGTGGGATTTTTTCTGTTACTTCGTTACAGCTATTATCAGGGTGAGTCCATTCATCAAGACCGTCCAATATAATCAAGCATTTTTCTCTACGTAAAACTTCATGTAGTGGTGCAGAGGACGGAAGTCTTTTAGTAAGTTGCTGTTCAATCATATCGTCAATGCTACAAACAGAGGTACAATCTCTTAATAAAACCAAAAACAAGAACTGAAAGTCAACTAACAATTTTATATCATCGTCTTTAAAACAGGCGTAGTTTTTATCGTGACAATGAGCTTGACACCACGTGACTGCAAGATATTTTGAGAAAGAAGTTTTTCCAAAGCCTGCATCAGCTGATAGATAAATTTCTTGCTGATCTTCACTTTCGGTTGAAAACAAGTCTCTCAATTTGATCGGTGTTCTCACCACTTCATGACAAGTTAGGGGCTTTTGTTCAACAGCAACTATATCTGGCATCACGTAGAACCCAGCTAGTGGTGTCTCTGTTTCTTCAACAAACGGTGAGAGAGGTATTGAACTACACCTTTTTCTGTAGAATTTAATCAGGTCGCCTTGAAGTTCTGAAAAGAGAGAAAAAAAGTTTTAATCAGTGACAGTCTTTCTATATAAAATATGAAATGCTGAGGTGTTTACCTTGTTTTAACTTCAATTTTGCATGGTTAGGATCAGAAAATACATATGTGAAATAAAATGTGGATATATAACACTATATTTACATGACATGTTTAACTTTTAACAATGCATAATTATAGCTAAACCCTGTTTTAACAATTGCATAAATTCATATACCAAAATGAAGTATTTCCACCGTATTTTAAGTACATTGCATGCTTGAAAATTAAAATTAAAGTGTTTAGCTATCAAGACACTGATAACACCGGTTCGACACAAAACATGTGCACCGAATGTGTAATAGTGTTGTATTTTACTATTATTTTCTGACTTTCTTGTTACTGATTCTATGAATTTCAGTAAATGTTTACAATGTCTTGGTCAAAGGAACAAATCGACACACTGATACACAGAACAGCAACCCCCCAACAAAAACAACAAAAACATGATATGTTTTTCAAAAGTATAATCAATAGGTATTTTAAATGATCTAGTTCATTTAGTTAATAACTTTCATCAAATAAAGAATTTGCATCAATTTATAAGCTCAAAATATTTTTTTCATTCATTGTAAAAGAATGTACACATTTCATTTACTCTATTGTTTTTACATAATTGAATCATTTTCCCGCTTTTCTATTCACTCATTTTACAGAAACATGATAGTATTGCAAAGGCAAAGGTATAAATCCTGGGTAATCTTAATAAGACATTTCAGTAAAACTTGTGCCTGATTATATGTTGAAAGAGCCATTTATTTGCCTTATCTAAATGTGACATGTAAGAAACTTGACTAGGTGTAGGTGCGGCCTTATATACTCCTGGCTTTAAAACATTATTCATATATTCAATATTAATTATCGATCGTAAACTACATGGATGTAACCGAAATTGGATCGAATATTTAAATTAGTCCTGAAATTATAGTATATAAACTATCAGTCTCTTATCTATTATCATAGTTTATTTCCACCTTCCACATTTCAAGTGAAATTGTTAAATAAGGAGTTTAAGTTGTATATTACCAACAATTTCAGGTGAAAATATAAATTATTTACGATAACAAAACATTAATAGTAAGTTCACGGGTGGCATTATCCCACCCATTCTGGTTCAGAGTAAGACTTTTCTGAATGAACAGCCGATGAATCAAAGTAATACATACACAAACTTAACAAATTTACCTCATATGATAAACATGTGCTTTATAAATAACAAAAGAACTATAATGTAGTTGTTCAAAATAAAATGTATGATAAATAATGATTTCAAACGCGGAACATCAAACTTAATTATACATAAAAATTTACCTGCAGCCTTAACATATCTTTAAAACATTATAACATAAGACATTAAAGTGGAATAATTCAAATTTCAATAAATAAAAATCTTACCATTGTTACCACTTGTATTAAATAATTCTAATGTAAAGCAGAAAAAGAAGAACGAAAAACAATTTTAAATGTGCCATCACTGGTGAATTTGCGTGGACTACTAAAACAAACATAACATATCTATAAATAGTGGTTGATTTTTTCTTGACAGTTCAAATTAGGAAAGGATCCATGATTTAAGGTAAGAGGGTGCGCAGGCACACAGTGGTCAGAGCAATCTTATATTGAATATGGTGCATTCTCGTGGAAATGGTCCGTTTTTTACCACTTATAAAACTGGTTTCAGTTGAGGCAGAAAATTTAACTTTACACACGCACACACACACACACACACACACACACACACACACACACACACACACACACACACACACACACACACACACACGCACGCCCCTTCAAACACACACAATAAACTCCAATACATTGTGGTTGTTTAGACTGACACGTTAGGAACCCAAACAGATCCAGAAAACAGAGCCATGGTAGGGCCCGAGCTTGGGGTGAAGCTTCCACATGCTACAGGATTTTCATCACTTGAAGATGTGAGAAGTTACAAAATGGGCGCAACTTAATGAAACCCTTCTAATATGTTACAAGAATAACTTTAGGTAACATGTACGTAAGTAACATCAGTTGTGAGGACCAAGCGGATGAAACGACCGTAAACCAGTCGACGACATGCACCACGAAATAATAACACATCCATGTATAAATTAATGCCAAGAAATATTCCCGAAATATATTTTTCCTAGATACTTTAAATTTAGTCAATAATGTTTCATACTTTCCTACAATTTTGGTAATATTTGTTTACTGCGCATCGTTTGTACATTAAACAATTATTTTATTCTGCATCAAATATTTTATTTAAAAAATTATCAATTCATCACTTTTTCTCTATTGACTCATGTATTTCTTCGTTTTGTGTTTTTTTTTATTATAGTTTATGCAACATTTTATAATTGTTCTAAAATAAAAATAAGTTATAAGCTAAGATAGACTCTAAATGTTTAGAAATTGTTACATTATGTTAACAAGAAACATGGCAATGCCACGAAACCAGTTTTTCAATTATCACGACTTTTGAAAGTTTTGTTGTCATTGGAATATAAATACAAGCAATGCACCGTAAACCTTTCTGCATTAAAACAATGACAATGATTCTATGGGGCTCAAAACCAATCCCAAATGAAGCTTTAAACACGGTAGAAATAATATACAAGTTTAATTAAAATCTCATTCCTAAATTAAGTTATATACCTGAACTGAAATATCTTATTCCAAACTCAAGTTATAGGCCAGAAACTTATTTTCTATTTTTAGTAACAGTGACATTGACCTAGGAGGCCCAAACGCAATCGTAAGTGAGGTCTTTACATAACCTTGCTATACACCAAGTTTCAATGAAACATTTCATTTCAAACTCTAGTTATTGAACAGAAACTGATTTCCTATTTTTAGTTACAATGACCTTGACCCTTAGGTGCCCAAAAGCCATCCAAAGTAAGGTCTTTTCATATGCTTGCTTTACACAACGTTTAATTGAAATATCTTATTCCATTGAGAATTTAAAGAGAAGTTGCGCACAGAATGAATTGTTGACTATATATTCCAGGTAACGAAAAAATCAAATTGCCATAATAAGGTAAACAATTTTTGAATCATAAAACCCCTACTATATTAACCAGGGCGCTTGATAATAAAGCTGTCAAAATCCCTTAAGGAATGTAGGAGGAGTTGCGCACAGAAGAAATTGTTCACCATATAGTCTTTATAAGGAAAAAACGGCCATTATTAGATAAAAACTATCGAATCTCAAAACCCTGACAATATGTGCCAGGAGACTTGATGACAAAGCTTCTGTGAAAGTTTCATCAAAATCTCTTGAGAAATGAAGGAGGAGTTGCGCATAGAGGAAACTGTTTACGCCCGCCGACCCGCCGCTGACATACCTAAATCTAATTACCTGTCCCTGGTTAAAAATATCTTTTGTAATATTTTTGTAAAATATTTCTTATTTCCTTTACCAGTACATAACAGCGCTGCTGTTATAACCGACGCAATGGCTTTGACAACAATATTAGATTTATTTGAAATCGTATTAGTTCAGTTTTCCGCTAAGACATTTGTAAGCACAGCCTTTTTTAAAGACTTGAACCACACGCTGTACATGAAAAATACTTAAACAGGAACAACCAGGAAATACCACAAGAGACAGCACATTGAAAACTCGATACTGTCTTTCATTTAAGAAAGATAAAAACTCACATACCATAAGCAATTCATTAATTATCAAGCCTGTCGTACATGTATGAAAGAGAGAAGATCGAGTTTTTCATATATCCGCCATTTACCTCTGCATATTATAGAACAAGAGCTGTCGGTATCACAGCAACGCTCAACTTTTCTTAGTGCTTGATAATAAATAAAAGAGCTTTGATAATGTAATATTTTCTGAGTTAACAAAAGAGCAAATGTTTTCTTTATATCCATGTTACAGTTTTAGACCCTTGGAGGGAGTTCTATTATGCTCTCAAAGAAGAATATAAAATTTCAACTTGTTCGAATCTAGATGTCAATAGAATATTAAAATATCTGAGGTGGTATGCAAACTTAAATGTAAATTCTAAGTTGCAAAAGGGGCATAATTCTGTCAAAATGCTTCATTGAGTTACCTCTTCCTTTCTACAGACTGGGGTTATGGTGGTGAACAAGTGTGCAAAGTTTCAAAGCCATATGTCAATGGACTTTGAAAGTATTTGAGGTTTTACAAAAACTTTAACATAAATTCTAAGTCGAAAAAGGGGCTAAATTCTGTCAAAATGCTTGATACAATTACCTCTCACTGTCAACAAACTGAGGTTATGGTGGTGAACAAGTGTGCAAAGTTTTAAAGCCATATGTCAATGGACTTTGAACATATTTGCGGTATAACAAACACTTTAACATAAATTCAAAGTTGTAAAAGGGGCATAATTCTGTCAAAATGCTTGATACAGTTACCTCCCCCTGTCTACAGGTTTGGGTCATGATGGTAAACAAGTGTGCAAAGTTTCAAAGCCATATGTCAATGGATTTTGAAAATATTCGAGGTATAACAAAAACTTTATCATAACTGGTTACGCCGACGCCGACGCCCGGGTGACTACAACAGCTCTACTTATTCTTATCGAATAATCCAGCGAAAAAAGGAAGTTATTTTTTTTAAAAAAAATCGTCATTTATTATGATTTATATAATTTTATATTTTAAGATGCTATGCTTCTTATTGAAAAGTGAAGATTACGACAGATTTGCGCTCTTTTTATTAAAGTCCGAGCTATGCGCTTTATAAGGTCGTAACTGGTACTTACCCTTTAAAATCATAATGTATATGTAATGAAAATATTACAAAAGCATATAATGAATTTTATAGAAATAATGAATAGTTGTAATGTGACCATAGCTCCACATTTATAAGTCGGATATACTTTTTCGAAGTGTGTTAAAAATTCTATCATGAAATAGATCATAGCTTCCAGGTACTTTTTATGCACTAGACCGTCGACTTG